TTTGAAATTTATTAATTTAACTAAATTATTTTTTAAAAAATGAATGCTAGTAAAAAAATTCAAATAATACACTACTCAAACTCAATATGTTTTTAAGTCATTCTATGTATGTTTCTTGTGCATTTAAAAAAATAATTGAGCAAAAAATGAATCCAGATAAAAAAAGGTCTCAAATTTAAGATAAGGAAAAATTATAATTTATAAAAATTTGATGATAAATAATTAATAAGTCAATTGAATTGAATTTTAATAAATTAAAAGAAGTGCAAGAAGAGATAATTCATTTTTTCAGTATTTACATATATTTATGTAAATATTGAAAAAATAAAAGTAATATAAGAATAATCATTAGATCGTATTGTGTTAGAATTTGCTTAATACATGCACATCTTACTTCTAATCATGTATATTTTCACGAGTTTGTATCGCCTTTCATTGGGGTCATGTCCACCTACTAATTTGAAAGATTGAATAATTTCATCCATTTATCATGCAAATCTACTAAGACTAGATTCAAGCTAATTAATGTCGTGTGAATTTTTTTTTTTTTCATAAATTGTACTTAAAATTGTAAGATTAATTAAAACTGAGAGCCCTAAAATTATTTTAATTGTATCTTAAAAAAAATTGGGGTCCCAAATATTAATATTTATTTTGGGGCCCTAGGCTGTGTCCTTAGTGGCTGGGCCAACCCTAACTAAGTCAAAGGGGCCACCAAGAGGTTGGACTTAGTCACTAAAACGATAAAAAATCATCACTCCTACAAAGTTAATGCCTTCCTGCAAGTGAAGGGGGCAAGATGTACTTACGCTTTTGCACGAGGAAAATAAAGGAAAGTGCATGTTCCATTGCAAAAGAAAGAAAAAAACAACAAGCACAAAAAAAAAAAAAAAAAAGAGTAGTAGCAATGAAGTTACAGATTCTTAGGGAAAGTATGAAAATTTTTTAACAATCAAGGGAGGTCAGCCCTTCAACTCATCCTGCACTTTCTTGGATTTTTCGTTCTTTTTCATACAACATTTGAAATCAACATCATTTATCCCTTTGTTGGTTTTCACATCACAATTCCTTCTCTTATACAATCAATCATAGTCAGCTCTCGGAACAATCAAGGTGTGGTAAATTTTTATCTTTTTGCACTAGCTTGGTCACTTGTGTGGCATGAAAACGAATTTTCAACTAAGCTCAAACATGGCACTAGGGATAGAATTTCACAAGAAAAAGGTCAAGGCTCAAAGAAATAAAAAATGGCCTAAGATCATCTCTAGATAAGCATGGGGGAGCATTATGTATTTCAAGACAAGTCAATCAACTACCCAAATGCACTCTAACCAAAACAAGCATAATGAAATTATTGAACAAATTTGAAATTTGAAGAATTGTTCGTTGAGTAAATGTAAGTTCCCTCCAACAAGGTTTGATACTAAAACTCACAAGGGTACTTACTCATCTCTACTATGCATGTCAAGCACTAAAATGTGGATCCAATCCATTAATTCCGAAATTACACATTCATGGTGCACTATGGTTGAGTTTGAAAGAAAACACATATGTAATGCTTCAACATAGGATAAACTTCTATGATGTGTTCATGTATTCAAAGTTCAAAATGAAGATCAAACTATCACTAAACTCATACACTTTGGATAGGGGAATATGGTTCAATATTAGATATTTTCCACAAAAAGTGTCCAAAATTTTCACATTTCTAACTATTATATACAAAAAGTGGTGGCACATGTAAATAGTGCACATCAGCCCCCAACTTGAACCATGCATTGTCCTCAATGCACAAGAAATCATGCAATGAGAAAAAATGAAAGTAACATGAGAAATAAGATACCCCCTTTTTTTTTGATATAAACATTAAGGGAGAATGAATCACAAAAAAAATTTGTTTACACCCCTCGACTTAGACTCGAACATGATACTATGTAAGATTTGTTACCATGAAGCTCAAAATTAATTAGTCCAAATTAGGGACAGATAACAAACTTCGTGCTAAAATCTACACTCCAACATCGTGAAAAAGAAAAATATAACAATAAAATAAGTCTAACTACTATGCATATGAAGACAAAACAAAATGGGCTAATGTCAATTCGGATATGAACTTGTGCCCATTGATTTTTTTTATTTTGAAATTTTTTTGTTGTATAAATGCTCATCCTAACCAATCTATCCAACAACACAAAGGATAATTATTCAAAAATCTCAACCAAACAGAGGTCTAGGCAAGTTTATGCAATTCCAAGAATAGAGTATACAATTTCTCTTTAAAAGTTTCTACACTTATCTCTATTTCAATGCCCTCCCCAAGTTAAAAAATGTGAATCTTAACACCACTCTTTGATGGCAAAATGACCTTGGGCTCATTAGACTCATATGAGATAATATCTTCATTAAATTTTTCACAATCTAGAGTGGGGGGAGATTCAACATCAATATGCATTCCATTGAGATGATCATCCTCAATACATTGACTATACTCAAGATGTTGTTCTTCACGCATAGTAATTATAGCATTAGTCAATGCAATAAGGTCATCTCTAATCTTAGAAAGTTGTTGGGCTACTTTGGCATTGACTTCCATTTGGTGTAAGATAAACTCGCAAAGAGTATTTTCCAATTCTTGTTCGGTTGAGTCCTCATATGTTAGATAGTTGCAAAATTTATTTGGTGGTGTAAGATCGGATGAAAAATTATAAGATTCATTCTCCCAACCATAACTCGGATAACTCGTTGCAACATAATGGTCGGGGTAAAAATTTTCAGGGGCCAATATTGAAATTGATCCTTCACATGCAAAGTATTGAATCGGATAATTTAATGGGCATTCATTAGTGATATGTCCATACTCTTCACAAATCTCGCACACGTTTTCAAAATTTGGGGCATTTAACACATTTTCATAAAAAATAGAAAACATAACACAAACTCCAACAAATTATTTACAAATGAGACGACATATCTTGGCCCATAATGAAAATCACGAGACTTACTTATGTCACCCAAAATCACCTTCGAACTCAAAGCTTAGCCTTCCCCGGCAATAGCGCCAAAAATGTTTGAATTTATTCCATCATTCCTAATCTCCTATCATGATTCCAGTTGTGTGTATGACTTATACATATAGGTGAGTGTAACTCTCCCTCGGATATCATGCAAGAAATGGGAAAAACGTGTGTGTGGATGAAAATGTGTGCGTGTGTACAAAAGTGCTCTTTAAGCATAGAGAGGCTTTCGAGTGTCGTGTTTTACTTGGAATGGGTATTCCAAGGTCGTCTGCTCAAGAAAAGAAGGTGAATTGTGTGAAAGTGATTTGTAATAAATGAAAAAGTATAAAATCTTTTGAGGTTGTGTTTTAGTGAGTGAAGATTTTTGGTAAAATGCAATAAAAACAAAGTTGGCTAATCCAAAAAAGTCATTCCTATGGGAATGCCAAATCAACTCAAAACATTCTTCCAATGGTGCATAGGTGTTCGATTGATTCGTAGAAAGCGAGGGATTAAAATAGAAATGAGGGCTCAAGCATACCCCGTGACAAGTTTACGGTGTATCAAGAGCTCACAACTACGTCCGCACTCAATCTAGTCAAACTTATCCACCTTTTACTACGAGGAAGAATGAACAAGAGTCGATTTCACATACCCAACAGAAAATCTCTCTTGGATTAGCCAACTAAAAATCTATCTACTCATAATAAAAGGAAAGACATGCATAATATAAAGAGACATGATGAAGAAATGAAACATGGAACTAGTATTAATGCAAGAAAAGAGTTAAACTACGAGAGAAATACCATTCATAACCAAAATACAAAGTTTGAAGGCAAATACCCAAATGTAAAACTTGAATTGCTAAAACAACTAGCTAAACTTGCATACAACTTAAATGAAAGAGTTGAAAGTGGAAATGGGGAAAATTACAAGTAATTTAAGGCTTACAACATTGAAAATAGTGAAAAAAATATGAAAATCCAGCTTTCTCTCTCTAAATTCATCTTCTTCCTTAAGCTTTCTATCTCTAAAACTACTCCTAAGCTTAGGTAGCCTCCTATTTTTCAAAAGCTTGTGTGTATCTAAATATATGGTGTAAGACCTCTGCAATTTTGTTCATAGGGCTCCTCTAGCATGTGTGTGCAGGCCTCCCATCAATGGGAGATAAGTTTATGGCTTAAACAGGCTAGGACAAGCCTAGCTTGCAACCCACCATGCCTCCTCCTTCTCTCTCCTCCTTTCCCATCCTCCATCCTTAAAAGTCAGCAACTAGGTCTTGTAGGCATGGTTGTATGTAGACAATGTCAGGAAATGTGTGGGAGAAGTAATGGTGGGCACCCCAAGCAAGTGGAGGATGAGTTACAGAATTTGGCGCTTTTCAGTAAAACTTACTGGTAGGTCGATGCCCAAACCTACTAGTAGGTTTTACTTTAGTGAGCAAAACCTACCATTTGATTTCTGGTAAGATTTTTATCCAGTAGGTTTTGGTTGTCTTCTACCGGTAGGTCATAAGGGGGATGCTAGCTCAGGACTAGATTTCATAGATTTGTCATAACCTTTGATCCGACCGTTGAATTGAGCTGAAATTTTGACAAACGATAGAGAATATCCAGATCTATAACTTTTATGTTTTGAAATTTTTCAAATTCAAAGTGGATCATGGTCAAAATGGGGAAAAATGAGGTACCAATACCAAATGGTGAGGATGGCAGTACAAAAATTCAAGTTGGCTTAGATACCGGTGCTTGTGAAACCAAATACCACTATCTAGTTGATTTCTTTCACTTTAAAGCCTCCCAATTCTCATGTAATGTGTCCATCTCTTCACCACCTATTCACACTTAGTTGCAGGGTTCCGAAAGTCATCATTTACACTATGATTACCTACAACATCAAAATTTTCACATTATTCATAAATTCGACTAACTCTAAGTAATTAAATGCAAAGTTAAGTTAAAATTCAAGTAATGAGGCCGTTAAATATGGAATATTACATGCTCATCATATAGTAGCAAGATATTGAAGATCATCTGCGACCTCATCATTAGCACTGAATGTTGCAAACTTGAGTATGTCTGCCCGAGATATAATGTTCAATATCTTGGTGGCAATCAGAGAAGCATTGGACATAAGAGAACTCTCATGAATCGCAGTAAGAGTTGAAGTCAGCCTTGGAGGAATAGAAGGGGCTACCCCCAAAATTACTGAAGGCATAGAAGGAAGAATGCTAGGCTCCTTAGAGACCGCTTGGGAAGGATCAATAGCTAGAAGATCCCCTTCCCCAAAAGGGGTGACCCCCAGATCCTAGGTTTGAGCAGAAGTCAAGTCAGAGGTTTTCTCAGGAAGATCAGGGAGAGTCGGGGTCCAAGAGCTTGGTTAGTTGTCCCTGCTTCTCTTTCCTCCTAGCAATAGCTTCATTCACAGTGCTAAGCTAAGGAGCCATAGGATCAAGATATGAAAAAGAAATCATAGGAAGATCAGGAAAGTACAAGGAGAAACAAAAATCGAAAGAAAAAAATAAACAAAGTGTTGAGACACTTACCAANAACAAAAGTTCTTAGCACATAAATAAACTCCCACTAACCAAGTACATCAAAAGACCCCAAAATACTCATGTTGTCAATATGTTTCTTCAAAGTTACAAGTCTTAGTCTCTTGGTTAAGGATCGACAAGCATTGATAATGTATCAATATGTTCAATCACAATGTCACCTTTTTTCACAAGATCCCTTACATAAAGATTCTTAATTTTCATATGTTTAGACTCACTGTAATTTTTGTTATTTTTTGAGAAGAACACAGCTGCATTGTTATCACAATAAATTGTTAGTGGTCTAGAAATGGAATCAACAATCATAAGCTATAAAATAAAATTTCTTAGTCATATAACTTATATTGTATCTTCATAACAAGTTACAAATTTAGCTTACATAGTGAAAGAAGCTGTGAGAGTTTGTTTAACACTCTTCTATGTTATTGCTCTTCCATTTAACATGAAAATATATCTTGAAGTGAATTTTAAATTATCCAAATACCTAGTAAAATCTAAATATGAGTAACCAATCACCTCAAGACTATCAACCTCCTGATAAAAAAAAATGCAATCTTTTGTCATTTGCAAATATTTCATAACTGCCATCCAATGATCTAATCATAGTTTGGAAACACATCTGCCAAGAACACTAACTACAAGGCAATGTCTTTTCATAAAAGGGTTATAGATTTTGACATCTGTAACGCCTCAAAATCCACTCTGGAAGGAATTACTATCTACAAACCATCCAATCATGAGAGCAACTAAAAATAACCATTAGAACCACCAATCATTCATCCATCTAATAAATAATAAATGCTAAAGCCAATAAAACATTAAAACCTCTCCAACTTACAATTCAAACCNACATTAGAACAACCGCTCAATCATCCATCTAATAAAGAATAAATGCTAAAGCCAATAAAACATTAAAACCTTTCCAACTTACAATTCAAACCAAATAGTATCTAGCAGCGGAATAATCAAAACTAGCTCAAACATCGTTTCATAAAAGTTTCTCAAACACTAAACCAAAACTAAAACAACTATATTCCTCTAAGACATGGTCCACATCTTGATTCTCCAATATCTCGTAATCAACCTGCTCATCCACATAAACATCATCTTCTATGCCAAAATCCGTAAGTGTGTTGTAGTGGGTGAGCAAAAGCCTGTAGAAAATCCCTCTCAAATCTCAACAAGGTTTAAAATAATAAAAACAAGGCAAGTCTCTTTTGAAAAATATCATATATAAATTTTTGAAAGTAAAACCGTGACAGTTGTAATGATCTCAAGTGTACGGAATACAACAAATCAATTATAGAAATAAACTTGCAAGAAATTAAAGCAGTCAGTAAATAACTCAGTAGCATCATCTCATATTTTCATGTATGTTGGTTCATCCCCATTGTTATGTACGTTAGTTGCTTCTCAGAAATCTATACAAAGATTCTACCCTCGTTCACCCATCACAACCACATAATCTCAATCATTCCTCGTAGGATTAAATCACAAATAAATTTAGGAAAGGTGTATATCGTCTCTCACTGCATTGATGAATCCTTCACAGGAAAGTTATACCATCNATGTACGTTAGTTGCTTCTCAGAAATCTATACAAAGATTCTACCTCGTTCACCCATCACAACCACATAATCTCAATCATTCTTCGTAGGATTAAATCACAAATAAATTTAGGAAAGGTGTATATCGTCTCTCACTGCATTGATGAATCCTTCACAGGAAAGTTATACCATCCCTCAACCTCAAAGTTACGTGAACAATAGTGATTGCTCTCACAAACAACAATCTACTACAAGTGTTAGGCAACCATCTCACCTCCACTGGAATAGACTAACCTCTAACACTCTACGATAGCTCTCGAAGGGAATTCAAGTCTGTCATACCCAAACCATATAAGAGATGAAACCACAATTTCTCAACAATCGTAATATTAACCAATCACAATTTTCGTTAACAATTCAAGTATCACAATTGCACAATTCTCAATATACTATAGTAATAAATAAATGAAAATATGCAAGATATCATATTAATAAAACCTTCACAATTTCGATATCAAAATTCTAGGATTTTGCCAAAAATCATAATTTTTTGAAGTAAGAACAAGTAATTGATTGAAAACCTATTTAATCAAGAATAGAACTTTAGAAATCAAGAATTCATGTATTTTTCACAATCAAACATGTATTTAGCAAACTAGGGTTTTAAAATTTCAAGAACAATGTTTCTTGGATACAAGACACGTATCTCGTAGAAAGCCATGTTATTTCAAAAGANATTTCAAGAACAATGTTTCTTGGATACAAGACACGTATCTCGTAGAAAGCCATGTTATTTCAAAAGAATCAAGAACGAACAATATGCTAATCAAAAGAAACCAAGAACGAAAGATTATTTAACATCTAATAATCTAGAAGATTTAAAACATATATAATTATACCCTAAATCTCAATGAAAGAACTTGTGAATAATCCCCTACCTTTAATCCGATAATTGAAGATTTATCTAGCATGTTTGAATCAATCCTGAAACGAGAATGCTCCCCGTGTATCTTCTCTTTCTTCCTCTCTTTCTTAGACGAATAATTGCTAAACATAGGCCTAAGGGTCATTCCCTAGGTATTTATAATGCCAAAAGTGGAGAAAANACAAAAGAAATATAACTCTAGGCATCCAGTTCAGGACCCCCGTTCCCCTCTAGGGAGCTTTCCCATGCACTGGTTCATCTACTTGTAACTCCACCTCATAGACGAAATCTGAAAAGATATTATTTGTAGGGGATGAGCACTAAGCTCTGTAGCAACATTCCTTCCATACTCATACAAGGTTTAGAAAACAAGTAAAACAGTTCGGTCTTATTTTTCAAAATATCATATAACATTTGAAGTAAAACCGTGACATTTGAAACAGATCTCAAGTTTAAACATTCGCAATAATTTAAATGAACAGTAAACCCAAGTCACAATGAGCAACCATAACCATTTCCAACAAGTTCTTGTAGAGTCCCATACCTCCACAAGCTCTTGTGGGAAATGCAATAGTAACACCATAATACAAAAAGGAACGCTTATTCCACCATCGATTATTATATTTCCTTTGGCAGGTGGCATACTTAAAAGTAAACTCCACCCCCTTCAAGTCTTTGTTTCCCATAACCGCATACTTACAAGTAACCACGGTCGTTAGATGTCCTTTTAGGTAGGTAGCATACTTACAAGTAACCTCTACCCCCCT